TTTTGAGATGGAGTCTCACTCTGTCGCCCAGGCTGGAGTGCAGTGGCACAATCTCCGCTCACTGCAAGCTCCGCCTCCCAGGTTCACGCCATTCTCCTACCTCAGCCTCCTGAGTAGCTGGGACTATAGGCACCCGCCACCATGCCTGGCTAATTTTTTTGTATTTTTTAGTGGAGGCGGGGTTTCACCCTGTTAGCCAGGGTGGTCTCGATCTCCTGGCCTCATGATCTGCCCGCCTCGGCCTCCCAAAATGCTGGGATTACAGGTGTGAGCTGCCGTGCCCGGCCTTGCCTGGCCTTATTTCTCATCTTCTAAAGCTTATACATCTTATTTCTTTTTCTGACCTTATTGCATTGGCCAGGACCCATTAGAGGTTCTCAGTCAGGGGAGCAGGAGCCACATGATTGGATTTGTTTTGAGATGATTACTCTGGCTGCAGAGTGGAAGGTAGGCAGGATGGAGGCAGAATCTCCAGGGAAGGAGATTCCAGGAAAGTGAGGAAGAGATGACTTCTACCCCAGGGTAGTGGCATCCTAGCTCCCACAGTTCTGCTCCCACAGGTCCTCCCTGCCAGGTGGGCAGCCTGGACTACAGGTGCAGATGTAGCTCTCATCTCCCTTCCCTGTCCCTCTCTGCAGACCGAGGACGCTGCTCCATGGGCCAGTGTGTGTGTGAGCCTGGTTGGACAGGCCCAAGCTGTGACTGTCCCCTCAGCAATGCCACCTGCATCGACAGCAATGGGGTAGGCCTGGGCATAAGACAGTGTCTGTCAGGACAACCCACCCTCTCCAGAGAGAACCCTATGGAGAGAGGAGAGGGAACAGGCAGGGATGGGGCACAGCTGGCTCACTGGTGCCCCCTCCTACCCCAGGGCATCTGTAATGGACGTGGCCACTGTGAGTGTGGCCGCTGCCACTGCCACCAGCAGTCGCTTTACACGGACACCATCTGCGAGATCAACTACTCAGCGGTGAGGCCAGGACCTACGGGGTGTGGGCGTGGGAACCCAAGGCACAGGCGAGGGTGGGCGCAGGAGGGGCTAAGCCTGATGCCACAGGAGCTGGCCAAGGGCAAGAGGTTTGGGGAGCAGCGGGGATCTGGCAGAAGCCCACCCAACACAGTGCCTATCTGCCCTGCCTTTCCCCGCCAAGATCCACCCGGGCCTCTGCGAGGACCTACGCTCCTGCGTGCAGTGCCAGGCATGGGGCACCGGGGAGAAGAAGGGGCGCACGTGTGAGGAATGCAACTTCAAGGTCAAGATGGTGGACGAGCTTAAGAGAGGTAGGGGCAGGGGCTGAGGATTGGAGGTGCTGAGAGCCTAGGCAGGGGGCATCCAACGGGGCAAGGATGTCATCACCTGGACAAGGGTTTGCAGTCTGGGCTAAGGCCACACAGTCCGGACAGGAACTCCAGAGCTGGGAGGGACCACAGAACCCAGATAGAGGACACCGAGTCCCAGAAAAGGGTAAAAGCCTGAGCAGGAGGCACAGAACCCAGGCGATGGGACACAGGAAGGTACCAAGAGTCTTGGTGGGGGGCACCTGACTTGGGCAGGGGCATGCACACAGCAGGGGTACATGGTCACGCTTTGGAGACACGCAGCCTCCCCTCCTCGAGGTCAGATATGTTTTCTGGACACTGAGCTTCTGGGTGATGTCCAGGTCAGGGAAGTGGGGGAGGTCGGTTTCTAGACTCTGATGCTCCTGATCAGGGGAGCCCCTGCCTCACCCGTCCCTGTGCCAGGTGAGAGCACGGCTTTGCAAGGACTTCCACTCTTCCCCAGGAGGCCCTGCTGTGGGTGAGGCAGGTCCCAGCGTAGGGGCCCCCTCACCAGACCCTGGGGTCCCCTGGGGCGGAGGGGTGTGACTGGGGTGCCCTGCTGACCGGCTGTGGGTACAGCCGAGGAGGTGGTGGTGCGCTGCTCCTTCCGGGACGAGGACGATGACTGCACCTACAGCTACACCATGGAAGGCGACGGCGCCCCTGGGCCCAACAGCACCGTCCTGGTGCACAAGAAGAAGGGTGAGCTGGTGGGGCCGGCTGCAGGGAGGGGCGTGTTGTCAGAGCTTGGCGGGGAGGACAGGCACCACCTCCCACTGCCTCTTCTCTCCAGACTGCCCTCCCAGCTCCTTCTGGTGGCTCATCCCCCTGCTCCTCCTCCTCCTGCCGCTCCTGGCCCTGCTGCTGCTGCTCTGCTGGAAGTACTGCGCCTGTTGCAAGGTAAGAGCCCGGGGTCCCTCCCAGGGCCTCATCTCCCCAGGGTCCCCACCCCAACAGGGCCCTCACCCTCCACCAGGGTCCCCAGCCCCCGCCTGGGTCTGCATCTCCCCAGGATCCCCACCCCAAGAGGGCCCCCACCTTCCACCAGGGTCCCCAACCCCCTCCTGGGTCTCCACCTCCCCAGAGTCCCCACCCCAACAGGGGCCCCATGCTCCACCACGGTCCCCACTTCCCCAGGGTCCCCAACCCCATCCTGGTTCCCCACCTCACCAGGATCCGCAACCCTGTCCTGGGTCCCCACCTCACCAGGGTCCCCTCCCTGACAGGGTCCCCACCCTCCATCAGGGTCCTTCTCAGGGTCCCCAACCCCCCTCAGGGTCCCCGGCCTCCCTATGGTTCCCCCAACAGCCCGCCACCATCCCCACTCCTGCAGCTTTCTAGCCAGAGCCTTCAGCCCGTGGAACCCAGCTGTCTGGATTCTGGTCCCAGCTGTGTGACCTTGGGCAAATTACTTAACCTCTCCATGCCTCAGTTCCCTCATCTGTAAAATGAAGGTCATAGAATTGACCTCAGAAAATGGAGCTGAAGCTTAAATTAGTGAAGTTCAGAAGGGACTGACCTGTAGCATGTACCATCGCCCCCGCCCTGCTTGGAAAGACCCACACCAACCCCATCCAGCTTCCCAAGTGACAGTCATGATGGTGACGCCTATGAGCTCCTAGCCCGAGTCATCCTGGAGCCCCAGCCCCCAGCTCAGCCCTTGCCAGCGTCCGCTGTCTGCTTAGCTCAGCGTTCTTCTTTGTGCTGTCGCCACAGCATGTCCATGTGACTCCATTTCTCCGCCCCCATCACCCCATGAGGCCAGTGGGGTAAGGTCACTATGCCCTATGACAGATGGAGAAATTGGGGCTGAGAGGCAGGTGATAAATGCACAGTCCTCAGAAGGGGCTGAGGCAAGCTGAGCCCACATCTTCCCCAGCTCTAGCGCCTGCCCAGGACCCCCACTCCATCAGTCATCAGTGGGCAGATCCCTGAGAGCACCTGTTCTGGGGTCAGCCACATGCGAAGGGCCTGGGAGCCACAACAGGGAAGGGAGGGCCCTGCCCACCAGGAGCTGGTGGTCCTTGGGGAGAACAGATAAGAGAGGAAAGTGTGGAGGATGGCATGGCTGAGTGGGGACTGTAGGCAGCAGACCACACTCCGTAGTAACCACCAGTATTGTGGATATTAGTGTGCATTACATAGGAAAGGAGTTATATGATCAAATATGTTTGAGTCAGGCACAGTTGCACATGCCTGTAGTCCCAGCTACTTGGAAAGCTGAGGTAGGAGGATCGCTTGAGTCTGGGAGTTTGAGGCTATGATTATGCCACTGCACTCCAGCCTGGGTGACACAGTGAGACTCTGTCTCAAAAAGAAAAAAAAAAAAAAAGATTTAAGAAACAAGTTTCTTAAACCTGTAGCATGGGGTTTGAGAAACAAGTTTCTTAAACTTATTTAAGTTACAGTGGCTCACACCTGTAATCCCAGCACTTTGGGAGGCCAAGGTGGGTGGATCACTTGAGGTCAGGAGTTCAAGACCAGCCTGGCCAACATGGTGAAACCC